ACACACACACACACACACACACACACACACACACACACACACACACATACGCGCGCGCGCGCACGCGACCACTCGCTCAGTCACAAGCACGCACAAGTAATTTAATTGCTTTGTAATTAACATTATTTAATTTCCCATTGTTTAGTAAGTAATTCATTGGTTTTTAGAAATTTTCTCGTCTCTAGTAACTTTTCGCATATAATATATATTGTATACTTCGTTTCAATCCAATTTCAACAAAGTGTAATCTAACAAATCACTGACCATAGAGGGTCTAGTGATGGCCACTTGTAATGCCAACTACATATCGATTAATTAATTGAATGAATGGATTTGTTAAAGGGAGTCTTCTAGCCATATGTAGATTTCCGAAATCTTAATTTATTATTAATAAACAACTATAGACAGGTCATGGATGTATAGATGAAAATAACATCACTTTTGGACTAACATTTTTCACATACAATTTTGCGATGCTGTTCGGATGAATGTTGTTGGCGACAATGGTGAGATATCAAGTCGATGTCTTCGAAATATACGTGAATGTGTTGCTTGTTCGATATATTGAGTGCTCAAACACTCTTCTTTGCTGTTTGTTCGGAATGGATTGGAACAGACTTTACATTCTTTCCAGAATTGGTTACCTACGAGACAGGCTTTGCCAAGTGTAGGAGCCAGTGTAACCGGTTTAGATAAAGTTTAAAAGTACATGTCTTAAACATACGTATTCCATAAGGTGTAATATGTTCCTGTTCCTGTTATCGGTAACTGAACTGTATTTATTTTTATGTACAAATAAATAAATTACTTACTTACTTACATAAGTACAACATAAAAAATATCATATATTTTAATACAAACAGCCTTATTTGTCGTACTAAGTCTATCACAATCGACGAGGCAAACGATCGAGTGCTATGATTTGCACGCGTTGATAGGCACTCGGTAAACACAGTAATTAATTCCCTATTCGCCTGTTTTAATTGATTACTTAACATCCGGTGTTGGTTAATAATAAACATGTCTCATCATGTGTGCACTTGAACACAATCTCTTTGCGCTCTTCTGCGTAAAAGAAAAGTGTCCTATTCTAAAAAAATACAGAAAAACGCACATGATATCGTTGCCTATATACAATAACGCAGTATTATAAAATAGTACTATTTTGAACTAAGAATATAGTGAAGAGCAGAGTAAGTGAAATTTTATCATGAATAAAGCACCCGTCAACATTTTTTAAAGCCATTTGAAGATAGGGATATATTTTTTCTGTAGCGAGTGCTTGTTGAACACCGGTCATAGATAATAAGTGCAGGTACGAACGTAGTAGGCAATAAGTAAAGTCATGGATTTGGTAGATCACTATTCTAGTTTATGCTATGCTACACTAAACAATAATTTCTTGCCTGTATATGAAAAAACACTTAATTACATAAAATCTCACTTTTAAATATTTATTTTTGCAAATTTATATGCCAAATACTAAACTCTTACAATTTTTAACGCACTAGTATTTTTATGTTCAGATTGGAGATGTATTTTGTGTGGAGTACCATTGGACACACATGTCTTTGATTGAAATTAATTTTCCTCGTCAAATTTTTTTTTATATGTAAGATGGTTGATTTATTGACGATAAAGTTTGCATATACTGCTCGTCGCTGTATGCTTAAGTTAAGTCGTAGTATTTGCAGAATACTGCGCAGTATTCAAATGTGCAAAGGTATATAAGAAAACTACGTTATTTTGTCACTAACAGTTTCTGGTACAATCGTCTGCAACAAACCCGCCTCCCTGCTGACTAGCTGTCGTAACTATAGACAAATATTTAAGGTTTACATATCGCGAATCGTAGCTGATGCCAATTAAAATGTAGACATGCTACGGTTAGTGTTCGCTTCTGACAGCTTAGTAAGATCACAGGTCTCTCATTGAATTACAACAAAAATATCGAGTTCCTAGATTTTCCTGCACATTCGAAGTGAAACTTTTTTTTAGCATCCGGAATCGCGTATATTTAAAACAAATCGCAGTGGCTTGTATATTCAAATGAAGTTGTTCATATATAGTAAAACACGATTAACTGTCGTTCACGATATTTTTGACGTTACGACGACAGACTTGCGAGACAATGGGAAATACTAGAACGACAGTCGTCTGACGATAAATAAAATGTCACGATAAAAGTGTGACGACAGATAATCGCAACTTCAAACGATTCTGTCGTGCAAACGATAAGGCGGCTGCCGTGAACCGATAAATTGTCGTCACGATCTCGTGGGAACAGCTAGACACGACAGTCGTTCAACGATAAAATAAACGTCCACGACACAGTCACGGCAGATAGTCAGGATATGGGAACTGGCAAGACGCGACAGTCGTAATATCATGTAAAAATATATAAAAAGATAAATAAAACGTTACAACATAATGGGAACGTTACTGTCAAATAAGTAATACTCTACCAAATTAAAAGACGCAGGATGCGGATGAAGCTTCATATTTGGCATTGCCTTTTAATATGGTCGAACATTACTTAACAGTAATTGTTTCGGACGGAGAACGAGAGAGAGTAAACTCCCTGAACGTGACCCAACACCAGATCGCAACTTTTTGAGAATACGCAAATTGCGACATTTTTTAATGCGGCATTGATATACCCACGTGAGATTGGATTTTGTAACATGAAAGCAATCTATGTAGTGAGTCTGTGCCATTCAAACTTTAATGGGTCAGTTCCAGATTAACAAGCCTATGATTTTTTTTATAATTTGTTTTACAGTACGCATTTTGTTTTTTTTTTTTAATTAGACCACTTTCATTCTAAAGGTGTGAAATATACGCGATATGACAAAAATGTCAAATACGACATTTAATTAGGAAAAGGTACGCAACACATTCACCTAGAGAAATTGAAGTTTGATTTTTATAGGAAATATTCATTGAAATTATAGAATATTTAACACAAATAAAGTCCGTGTTTCCAAATGTTTATTGGCGAAAATAAAATAATAATTCAATAAACGATTATGAAGATTATGATTTGGTTATAATCCTACCACGTTTGTATATTATAATACTGGAGACTTCATAATCCTTTGTATACTTATCCAAGCTCGCAAAAGTCTAGTCGTGTAACAAATATCAGGTTTGGGAAAATTTGTCTATTATTTCGAGTTCTTAGGTTTTCGCGATTGTTACACATAGAAAATGAAACTTTTTTTCTGGATTTAAATCGCGTATATTTGGTTTTTATAATATACGCGACAAATATACGCGATTTAAATCCGGAAAAGTAGTTTCATTTCCTTTGTCTATTATTTTCATCTGTACCTACCTAGCATACAATTGTATTTTATTAATTACTCCTTTCATACTTATGACTGTGACGTCTTATCGAAACGCATTAATAGTAGGCACTAATTAATTTCATCTGGACCTATAATTAATTGATGGGTCGACATCCTGCCAAGCACCCACCAGCAGTACGTTGTACACACATGCGAAAGTAATCAGTGACCGCTTTGTTTATCTACTTGCCCTCAATTTGATGTCCCTTTGTGTACTACGCCTATGTAATACAAAGTTTAAATTATTGATTGAATAAAAAGCTATTTGGTTGCATATCACATGCACACTACTGCTGGACACGGGTCTCAGGAGGTTAGTCCATCACATCGTGCCGGAGCACGTGAATTAGCGACTTTACATTCACACTATAAAAATTATACTCTTTAGGTTGTATTCCAGGACTCTACTCAATCCTCAAGTCAGGACTTGAGTATGATTTCAAGCACTGGAAATACGACCCTAATGGGTTATACTCAAGTCCTTGCCATTAGGGTCGTATTTCCAGTGCTTGAAATGATACTCAAGTCTGCTCAAATCCTGACTTGAGCATTGAGTACAGTTCTGGAATACGACCCTTATTTTCTAAAGTCCAAGCTTAGGAGCTATTCAAACTGAAAAAAAAGTTGACAATTGCATATTTTCCCATTCATCGTATACACTTATCGCTACTTCAATTAAAATTTTACCTTACCCTGTTTAGACATAAGGTCCAATGTTCGGTTAAGGTTCACAGTAACATTCTATATTTGAATTATCGTTTGTTTTTCATAAAAATAATTATGATAATTTTTCGATATCAGAACATCGTAGCTGTAGGTACTCAACTAATCAATTGAATGTTTATCTTAACTGTTAAGATATTATAATATGTAACCTATTATATACTAAAGAAGAAGTGACGTTTTATCGTATTAAATAGTTTCTCAATAATATATATACGCCTGTTTCCGTAGATTCGAATGTATCCGAAGCTAGACATTAAAAAATAAATAGATGTTACATTTTGTAAATGAGAACAAACTTTAGCACACAGTTTTTAAGTCCACTGACCCGTTTATTCTAGTGACGTTAACCTTTTTCAAAGAAACTAATAAAAATCTAGAAGCCAGAAAAGCAAACACGCTATTTACACAGTACGTTCAATTAACTAAACGTAGTCGTTCCCGCGAGTTCTGTCGACCCGGAAAGGTGATTTTATTACGTCATAAATCTCGCAGCACAGCATCTGTGACCCCAACTGGTAGCATTCGTTTATTTAGTCGAATACCGGCACATGTGACGTGGTTTATGATAGGGTTCTGTTATGATGAAACACATGGTTTTTGCCAAGTCTTTTATATTTTACAGATGCCTTGGATAGAAATTAATAACTCATAGATTAAATAAAATATTGCGCAGATAAAATCTGCTGATAGAATACATTTACGAAAAACATTAGTTCGTATTTTTAACCCCCGACGGCAAAAGAGGCGAGTTATAAGTTCCAAACCTTTGTCTATGCATATGTGTATCTGCCTAAATTCTGCTAATTTTGTGTAAAAACTGTGAAGACACCCATCGCATAACAATCATTTTTTTCTATTCCAGAAAACTAGTCGCCCAGTTCAGTCGCGAAGAGACATCACTACTCGTTCTCCGCGTCATGGTAGGACTGATCATCCTTTACGATTGGGTGCATCCTTCAGGGGCCTTCTGCCGTTCATCATCAGTGGACGTCAAAGGTTGCGTTAAATTTCTCCAACAACAAACGCCGGCAAAGGCCGAGCCCTTGCTAAACGCCTTAAGGTACACAACTAAACATCTGAACCATCAGTCGACGCCGAAGAATATTCGGACGCTGCTGGCAGCGTGAGGACAGCACTCCAGCCTTGCATGTTGCTGTGGGGAATGAATCGACAATAATTTGCGGGGACTTCTCAGCGGCACGCTTTATGTTTACTCTCCTTGTACCGACCACCCTTACTCCGCTTTTTTGGGTTGCACGTAAAGCATAGATCGGGCCAAAGAAATATTTTTTTGGTCGTTGGCTCAGACGGCAAACGCTTGATCCACGTTTTAGTAATTCGTATTTATTTTAGGCTCTTCAAAGACGCTTTCGTCCCAAACCAAACTTTTCCATATAGTTGCTAACGTCTCACGCGCTTGTCTATATTTGATAGGGCCAATGTAGTAACCAAATAAAATAATTCATTGGTTCCGTAAAACCGCATTTGGAGAGAAGTTTTACTATAATTTTTTAAACTAAATTATTGGGTCTAAAGAAAATACTTATTAGGGATAAATATTCGAACAAAAACCACAGAAAGCTGTGGATACAATAACGTTGAGTTTATTTACAAATGACCTCGATTTTATTTACAAATAACGTCGATTTTTTTACAAATAGGTCGGTTTAATTTGCAAATAAAGTCGATTTTATTTACATATAACTTCGATTTTATTTACAAAAAACGTGCATTTTATTTACAAATAAGATCGATTTTATTTGACTAATAAACTCATAGATGCAGAAAACTATTTTTGAACGTTTTCTAATACCTAAATAATAGTCACTATGTGTAATGTCATAGCTAGCATAAAGAGGCTTTTAAAGCTATATTAATTATTAAAGAGAATTGTTTCCCCTCCCCAGACGTGCAAGGTAAGGTAAATTAGATATCACAACACAAATTATGATACAGCAGTCATTCGCAAACTGTAAGTTAGCTTTTATAAACCTTTAAATAATAGGGAAGCTTACAATAGATACTTTTAACGTAATTATATGTAAGAAGAAAGTATTATTTGTGTTATTATCTACTGTGTAAAAATGCCTTTCAAATTATATTAATTGGTTACCACGTCATGGATTGTGCAATATAATTAATTCCACTGTTCGTTCTTATATTAACTTTTATTATAGCACATTTCTACTGAACGTCGGTTTGTTTTACATATCGTTCCTTCCAACTTTAATGGACGTGAATTTTATTTGACTAACGTTGTAAGGCACGATATGAATGAGAAATTCTACTTATTTCAGTGCAATCGCACAACGCAGTGATGTTTCTTTCAAGAAGACTGAAGTGATAATGCTCGTGAATTATAATTATCAGTAACCAATATTGATTATTAATTTTGCATTTAATAATAACGATGTTGATTTTATTGTAACGCTTACGGTCAACCCTACGTCCACCTTTGTGTAGAACTGTAACATCGCAGTCATAAGCGGGTTTACCCCCTGTAAGCGGAACTCCAAAATCAACCAATCTAGAATAACTTGATAAGAACACGCCTTAAGGTGGATTTAAATCCAAAGGCCAAACGAAATTTAAATCAGATGATGCCTTTTAAACTAATAAATTAAGTCGTGTTAACACAAATCTATCTATACATTTACCACTGCCTTGATGTTATCTATCATAGCGATTTTAAATGAATTTTTATATGACGCGTTTTCTGTTCACGATTGTAATGTCAATCCTACTTCGCCCATTTCTCAAATTTAAAGTAATTGAAATGTACAAAATCCGCATAAAATAGTCCATTTGCGTAACTCAGTGGAAAATTCAACCTGGCTTTTTTTTATAACATCAAGTGACAGGACGAACAAGTCGTGCGCTTGATGGTAAGCACCACGACTGTCTGTTGTCTGTGACTGTGTCACGAACTGCAAAGATCTGAGGGGTACTACCACTGCGCCCGTCACACTGAGACATAAGTTGACAAGTCCCATGTGTCTGTAATTAATTATTATGGGAAGAGGTTTGATATGAAGCCTTGTTTTAATATCTCCAGTGAACTATATTAGAGGATTGCAAGATTTGTTAATTATTTTAATCAGAGATGTACGGAAAAACAAGGTTATGAATACAGCACACTTTCGATTGTCAACTTTTTGCTAAATAAGATTTATTTGTGCATCAATCATGTTTTTTTATATACTGCTAGGAATTGCTCGAGCTCAACGTTTATAAATACTAGTTATTTTTATAAGTGAATAAAAATTCGGAACAGTTGCTAATAAAATATTATACCAAAAAAATTGATACTGGGTTTAGATGACAAGCGTTCAGACGCGCGTTGAGGGCTATTAGTGAAAGGCGTGTGTAACGCTTATCATGAACTGACACTAACCTGGAGATCTACTCCCGTTCTTCATCCGAAACAATTACTGTCAATTAAGTAATACTCGACCAAATTAAGAGTCGTATTCCAGAACTCTACTCAATGCTCAAGTCTGGACTTGAGTATGATTTCAAGCACTGGAAATACAACCCTAATGGCAAGGACTTGAGTATGATTTCTAGTTCTTGAAATCATACTCAAGTCTTGACTTGAGCATTGAGTAGATTTCTGGAATACAACCCTAAAAGACGCATAATGCGAATGAAGCTTCATACTTGATTGGTCGAGTATCACTTATTTGACAGTAATTGTTTCGGGCGGATGTCGGACAGAGAACAGATGTGTCTGGGGCGTAGACGTTGCCGTTTTATTATGAAGTTAGTCTTATTACATTTACATTACATTTTGTCAACACAGTAACTTATTCAATAATGGTCTTTATTTTAAAAAACTTTAATTATTAATCGAATTTAAGTATTGTCTTTCACTAGTGCACACTTATCTCGTCTTCTCTTGTATAGTGTTAATTGATAAAGATATGGTAATTTAATAGATCGACCTGAATTTCTAAGAAAAAGGTACATAGTAAAAGCTGGTAATGTAGGCTTCGGGTGTATTGGGGAATTTTAAACCTGGAGTGTTAAAAATCGAGAACGTTTTTATAGATCAATGTGAAATTGCAATGGACCATGTGTAGTTGGTAGATACTTCATATTTTCTACCGAAAACGCGAGCATTGTTGTCAAAAGTAAACACTAGCGCCACGAAATTAAGTCTAAATTGAATAATCTCTCGTCAGTTTTTAAGTAAATACGATTAAAAATGAAGATCGATGAGATTTGTTCACTGAGGTTTTGGTCGATCTGTATTTATGTATTTAGATAGTTTGCACACACGATCAGCACAATACTAGATAGTGTGTAGGTGTTGCATAGTGAATGTCATTCTGGATGCGAGATACCTTTTTAAAACTGCGTAAACAAAACGAGAGGTTTAAAACTTAGTGTTAGTGTTAGGGCGCCTTCAAATTAGACGCTTATAGAAGCACTGAATTAGCGCCACTGTGGCGCGGCCACTTCTGATTTTCATACAATATTTAGATGAGCAGTTGCGGCGCGACTGTCGTGACATGTGCGCGTCACTTTTGCAGTCCCAAATAGTGAACTAAAAATTACTGCAGCGCTCCTATAAGAGTCTAATTTAAAGCCGCCACTCATCAATAGAAAATCATATTTGTTTTTAATAGTTTTATCATGTTTTAGGAAGAGTAAAAAATTATATGATGATAAATAGTGCCCAGTTCTGATGTTAAACTATGCAATTATTAAGCGAATTGTTGAATTTTCTTTATGAACTATCGTTCTTATTAGAATTATATCGTATGGCATTTATTATAGGAATTGATGGTTCGAATTGACGAAACGGCATAATAAATATTCCAAAATTTTACACTGCCCTTTATATATTGTATTTGACGAGGTTTTTTACAACTCCATGTTGAGTCTAAGCTTCTAGTTTAAAAATGAAGTATTGATTGCTTATGAATTATTGTATGAATAAAAATTATGTACGACAATGTGCTTGTTTTAAATTTTCTTAGATTATATACTTCTAATGTCAAATTTATGATAAAATGTCGACTATGTCTATGCGACTGTATGTACAGCAAAGTCCTGAGAGCTAATTATACTTATAATAATTTGTTACGAATTTAGTAAAATTTTTAGCAAGTTTTCTATGAATAAAAATTCGGTTTCTAGTTATCCAGATTGTTGTTCCCATTATATAGAATTTCGAGAGGGCTTGTATGATAGACCTAATATTAGTTTCATTTATTTATTGTATATAATAAACACACCAAAGTTATAATAAATTTGAATAGACTCTTGTATATTGTGTTTTTATTACAAACCTACTAAACGACTAAAGACTTCCGAGTATTATTTATATACATTTAAAACAGTATAAAGGTGACGCCCACAATTATAGTACAGTACTTTAAATATTGTAAATTATTATACTTTGCTTCCTGGATACATTAATCTATTTTTTAAAGTAAGTAATAATTACCTGCATTCAAATGCTTTAAAAAGTTGCTTGCCTCATCAGGCAATCGAACCGACGAAATGTGAAAAAAACACCTGTAGTTTTATGAATAATAAATGGCGATCTTTACCTGATAATCTAATTTCAAAAATTCGAGCATGAACAAGCTGGAATAAGTGACGCTCAAAGACGGATGCTGTAGGACCAGAACCAGAAGTGTTCTATTCACTGGTATAACTGACATTACCAAAATCAATATCTACTACTAGCAACTATACAAAAAAATACAAAAATTTCAAGAACATTTGGAGAACCATTACGGTTTGAGACAAGCCAGGGAAGCACTCCCAACGCTCAACGGAAGTCTATCCCGAAAATTTCTTAACTGTAACTGCTGCTCTAACGGACAATGGTCCCTATCCCTAACACCTTCCCAATTTAGATATGAATCTACGCAGAGCGTCGAAGAATGGGGAGGAAACGGTCGCATATATCCTGTTACAATTAGACAACAGCGCCGATAATAAACCAACCGGCGGCGGCGCGCCGACAAAAAAGTGTCGGCGGCGGCGGCGTTTCGGCGACGCGAGCGCGACCCTAAAACGAATTTGTATATCGGTGTTTGTTTTTACAAAAACCGTTATACAAATAGTTTTTCAAAGGAAAAAATAAAATCACGTATTTTCTATAATAATCAAATTTTTATCAGTTCGATCAGGCGCTCTGATCGTACGCACGCGCTTGCTTCCATATTGTGTATGCGTAGTGAAAATGGCGACGCCAGAAATTGACAAATGAATTTTTAAACAAAACCTTTTTAAGTATAAAATCACTAACTTTTGTCGCCTATCTATGTCACCTCTGCTGAGGACGGACGGCACGCTTGCCTATACTGCAGATGACAAGGCAAATCTTTTTGCCTCAATCTTTGCAAAGAGTTCGCGTCTGGATCTAATCTTACCTCAGGCTGGCTGCACTATGGCGCCAATTCGCATACGCCAAAAAGAGGTACTTAGAACTCTGCGGAATCTAGACGTGAATAAAGCTAGCGGGCCAATTGTATTTCCAGCACTAGTCCTACGTAACTGTGCGCCTGAGTTGTCTCCTGTTCTCACACGCCTACACCAGTAACGCCTCTAACTTGAGACTGGTGTAGTTCGCAGGTCGTGGAAGCTTGCAAACGTGCAACCTGTGCCAAAAAAGGGAAGCAGAGCTGACTCTGTCAACTATAGACCTATCTCAGTAACTTCCATACTCTGCAAGGCTATAGAACGTGTACTCAACAACCGTCTCTCGTCGTACCTTAAAGACAACGACCTCCTCAGTGATCGCCAGTACGGATTCCGACGACGGCGATCAACTGGGGATCTTCTTATGTATGCCTGTCACATATGAAGCTAGGCTATAGAAAAGCAAGGTGAAGCACTTGCAGTATCTTGGGATATTTCTAAAGCCTTTGATAGGGTCTGGCGCGCAAACCTTTTAAGTAAGCTTCCCTCTTATGGGCTTCCGACTGACTTTTGCAATTGGATCTCGGATTTCTTGAGCGAACGTTCGTTTCGAGTGGTCTTAGAAGGCTACTCTTCCGAACATATGGCGATAGATTCCTCAGGGTTCCGTACTGTCTGCAACTCTCTTTTTGCTGTATATCAATGATATGTTAATTCCAGGTACCTTTGCGTGTGCTGATGATAACACACTTGTAGATAGGTACTTGACCAATGCAAGGGTCAGTGAAGAGGAAATCCAGTCTTGTCCATTTTTTTTAGTTCTTGTCCATGGTTAGCCGTTTAGATTTGACATTCAAAGCAGTCTCCGATTGGGGCGATGCCAAATTTAACGTTACCAAAACGCAGGCGTGTCTATTCTCCACAAAACGGAGTCCCTTGGAGCTGACTCCGACTGCCTAGGCGATTCCTGGCGAATCCACGCGAAGTGTAGTGTGACGTCAAACGTCGACGAAATACTACAACCTCAAGGCGCAGTCGTGAGAATGCTTGCGAATGCTCGAGCATTCCACGTGCGCCTTCTAGCGCAGCGAGGCGAAATTGACGCTTCCGTTCCATTCCGTTCCGCGGCAACGTAAATTAAGACGAACTCGAGTGGCACAAATGGGACCCTGCACCCGTCGGACATAAAATGGGGGCGGAGACGTGGAGTTAGGGACACCAGTCTGTTACACCACACCATACCATAAGGGGCTTTAAATTCCAACAAAAAGTGAAACGAAAAGTTTATTCTTAAGTAATATTTACAAATTAATTATTAATTACATACAAGTGTGATCTAATTGGCCGGACGCGGCTTGAGAATAAGCTTGCCAGTATCGTCACAGGACATGTTGAAGTCGTTGAGTACGGAGCGCGTGCGCGCCGTGATGATACTCGGCGCGATCACCTTGCGGTGCACACCCATCATGAATAGCAGCACTGCAAAAAAGAAATCTGTGTTAGTGCAATAATTTAACAAGCTGTAACTTGTCTGGGCATTCTTGTCGGTTATCAATGAAATCTGCGAGTAGAGAATGGATTCTCTCTTCTATAAATTTCTCTGGTTCGTTCCGTTAATAATGTGATGTTAATTCCACAAAAATTATCACGGTACTTTGTACCGAGATTATTATTATTAGTAAAATTTCATTTTCCAGCTAAATATTTCTTAAAATTTCTTTACATTTTTTCAAATTTTTGTATATACGTTTTTCTTTTGTTTTTGTTTCGTAATTATTTACTTATGTTTTACGTTGAATGTTTTGATCGTTTTTTGTTCCATTTTCACTTTTGTCTTTTTGGGTTCATTATGGTAAAGAAATAAATGTATTTTCTTTCTTTCTTCTTTCTTTCTAAAAATATAAAACACTCCAGAAAATAGTTGATGTTGAAAAATATAATATTCCAACAAAAGTTTCCAAAGATCACTAAATTGTAATGATGCACATGACTCTACCAAGGCGCAAGAATGTGACTAGCTAACAACATTGAAGAGAAAAACATTACCCAAGAAAGTGGAAGTGAATGCAAAGATAGGATGGTTCCACAGTGATTGGCTGAGTGAGACCACAGGTGTGAGCGGGTCGGTGAGCCAGTGCCAGGCAGCCATCGCCGTACATACAGACACCACTGCTAGAACAACTGCAGGCAGAATTTAAATATTATTATTATTACCACCTTTTTTCATTGCATGAAACTCCTGAGATCTACTGCTAATAATAAGACAAGTGATTACTGACTATCTAGGTAGTGCAGGGGAGTCGGTTTCTATTCAATGTATCAACTCAAGAAACTAACTTTAAATTTTGACAAAATTCTACTCCAAGAGTCAATTTAAATAGTTGTAATCATAGTACAGGCATTTCTGTATGTCACTGCCGGACTCATTTAAAATTATTAAAATTACTGTCTCTTTATTTGCTGTATCCAGTACTTTCATCACATCTCACTATTTAAAAATGTTCAGTAAATATTAGAAGAGAGTTTGGTTTGTGTAGACAATATGAAGGCAATTTTTGCAGATTGAATAGTAATACCACAGAATAGTGAATATGGAAGGAAATAGGGGGTTAGGGTTAGCAACGGGACACATAATGGGAATACATATAAAAAATAGTAATTTTTTAAGAATAACTTATTGCTTACTTCTCCATCTCAATGTGGCAGGCTGCAGACATCCGATTACCTCAGTCAGACGACGCTCAAACGCTTTCAAATCTGAAAAATTGTATTTAAAAAAACCGGTACCTTCATACTCAGTTTTATTAGTAAACAAACATGGTTGCTTCCTAATATGGTCATTGGAATCTTAAAAATATACTAGCAGACTTTAGGTTATCTCCAAAATTAATTTAGTTTGTAGTAAGTATTGAGAATGTTGTGCAATTTTGTAGGCTTAATGACACAAATATTTATATTGCAACAATCGTGTAAGATGATCTTACACGACGCCTCTGGAAAAACTACTAAAATTTTCATCTAAATGCCAAAGAATTTAAGCAAATTGTACTTCGTGCAGTTTCTAATCGACTTACCATCACATGCTGTTTGTTCTAAAGACATTATGCAATGAATTAACTAACTGCAAGCACAAAATTTTTCGAATAAATACAACATGTTAGAAGAAAATCAGAGAATTAAACACACTATTATCCAACCAATTCAATTTCGATTTGTCCTTTTGACAGCAGACTGACATCAAATTGACAGTCAGCTGGACCAATAATTTTAAAAAAGTATGTAAAGTATTTTCAGGTAAGTTTTCTCTTCCTGATTTCGGTGACAATTTATATTATTTCAAAATTCTAGAATATTGTCATGGAGCATCATTTTAATATTCGAGTGTAGCAACCTGAGACATTATTTAATATTTCATGATAATATAATCGAATAATAAAAATTACCACCGAAATTAGGTAGAGAAAACTAATGTGAAAATTACCCAAATTCTGCAAATTATGTGTACATACATACTAATTCTATGGTACATACTTAAGTACATAATAACATATAGATTGGGTATGTACAGGTATATTATAATATGTACACTGTAGTGGGATCTTCGTCCATGCAAGGGTCACACCACACCGCAAGTGGATCTCGGCCGTTGGAATGTATTTCCGCTGTGTCCACAAATTAGAAAGATAATGTATCAACCTGTATCAACCGCTCCCTCAAACCGTAACTAAGTAACAATAAAAAGCAACTCACAGTAAATATACCTTTTTATTTATTGTTATAATCTAACAGTTAGATAACACGTTTCTTGCCTTACAATAAGCACACACACCAATATTAAACAATAAAGGAAGAAAAACAGATGGTAAAAAAAATCTAATTAATAGTGAAACGAGAGAGAAAAAAAATGGCGGGCTTTTGTAGTAACAGTTATTGCACTAAAAAATGTTTTATTTTAGGTATTAAATACGTTTTGAGTTTCTTAATTATTTCTTACCATTTAAAGCAGAATGCTCAGTAAATAAATAATGACGCTAATTCTACGCCTGTATTTTTGTCGTATATTAATTAAATTTTACGGCTTGGGAAACATATTTCTGCATATACTCAAATTAGAAGGTTACAAACAAATAATAAATGAAGAACCACTGACATATATCCCGACATATATATATAAGAACCCTGCAAAAAAACTGGTAGAACTCAGGAATGGCCTTACTACACTCAAAGAAAAAGTAATTTCGTTAAAGAATCTGATTTTCCAGAAAACAAAATATTAATGTGTAGTACTGAAATCAAAACAGCGTTCGGCTTAGTGAGCTCAATATCTTTGTATCCATTTTTATTAAGCTATTGTTGTCTTCGTCTCCGAAAAAAAGTAAATACAATGGGAAGGCTACATTTCACCCTCGAGGCTCTATAGGGCTTGTTACCCGAACCAAGTCAATAAAGGTTCATTGGGAGACTGCGGAAACGCTTGCCTACTAATCAAAAATGGCTTCTGAAACTGTGGACAAGTCGCCATGAAAAATGCCAAAATTGTCACGAAAATTACAGTTTACAATTTTCCTAACTGCATTCTTAATTTATTAAAGAACGCTTAACGCTTCGTGCGAATCTTTGGAATATCCACAACATAGAAGTGGAACCCAAATCTACGCCTAGTCCCCCGGTGATGGAAAGGAGAAAGCGGAATTAAATCGTGTAATTCCATCGTACACTCTCCGTGATATGTCCTGTAAAATTCCGATAAGCTGGCAATTTTACGGCGGTGTTCAAGGCTCTGCAGCTTCGCCTCCACTAATTCCGAGTCACCTATAAGCTTCTTGGCACGGTTGTCAATTGAATCCAAGGTGGCCAGTTGGTATGTAGCAGAGCCATCCATAAAGGTGGCAGCAGTACTCCATGCACGACCGGATTAGCGCTTGGTACAGCTGAAGCAACTGTCCCGGTGAGTGTGTCCCTATCTACTGAGATAGAGTTTTCCGGAGAGACTACGGGCTCGACAGCAAGACCAGGGTATAGCGGGCGTCCGGGCCAAGCCCTCCGCCAGTGATACGCCTTTGCGGGCGTCTCTGACGGACACGGTCGTGGGTATGGACTCGCTGGGGTTTGTGGTTAGCTGCAGAGACAGACATGTTTGTATGCCCCGGTTGCAAGTGTCCGGGGCGTCTGTTTCGTGAGCAGCTAGCGCGTCTTAGTAGCGGACTAGTTGAGGGTCTGTATGCGAGGAGACGCGCGGAGCACGTGAGTTGCCCTTTAAGTTGGAAGCTATGTCCAGAGATTGTCGCAGGACACTGCAACTGGCATCTCCGGCACTAGCCCGGAGAGCTAGTAGAGGATAAGCTAGATATCCTCCGGTCCCTCCAGCCGCTTAGGTTATTAGGAACTGGAGAGACGTTATTTTTCGGCGTCGGTAAGTGAGCGTGCCTTACAGCTCCGCCGCCAATGAGGAGATTTGGTAGTGGACTCAGAGTCGGCGGCTTAGCGGTGGCAACTGCTAGTTGTGCAATGCGCAACGGGAATTGAGCGGGCCTACAGCTCCGGTACCTATCTGGAAAATAGGGAGGGTATTGTACGTGCACCTGGGGCAGCTCACCCGAGGCACTAGCCTCTTGAAGAACTGAATGAAGTCAAGTGACAGAAGTCTGTGAGAACCCTGTACACTGGCTGATCTGGAGTCAAAACCTGAACTTGTGAGGTTCCTGTGCGCGCACAGGTTATAGTTTCCTTCTCGTATATCTCTTAAGGGTAGGTTGTACTAACGTAGAAAGATGTGGTGCTTGTCCCGGTGTGAAGTAACGCCTCAGCCTGGAAAGGATCCCAAACTTCCTTGCTGCATGTTTGGTCATGGATTAACGTATCTGCAGAAGTACAAATTGGACGACAGGTCCATTCCAAGTAGCTGGAGACAGTCGGCTATCTGTAAGACTGCCTTGAGTGTCAAATCCAAACGGCTAACCATAGACTCTCGACAAGACTGGATTTCCTCCACTGACCCATGCATTGGTCAAGTACCTATCTACAACTGTGTTGTCATCAACATACGCAAAGGTACCTGGAACTAACATATTGATATGCAGTAGACAGAGTTGCAGACAGTATGGAACTCGGAGGAATCTATCGCCATATGTTCGGAAGAGTAGCCTTCTAAGACCACTCGAATCGAATGTTCGCTCAAGAAATCCGAGATCCAATTGCAAAGTGGGAAGCCCATAAAAAGGAAGCTTACTTAAAAGGTTTGCGTGCCAGATACTGTCAAAGGCTTTAGAAATATCCAAAGACACTGCAAGTGCTTCACCTTGCTTTTCTATAGCCTCGCTCCATGCGTGACAGGCATACACAAGAAGATCCCCAGTTGATCGCCGTCTCCGGAACTCGTACTAGCGATCACTGAGGAGGTCGTTGTCTTGTTGTCTTGTCGTGGGACAAGAGACGGTTGTTGAGTACACGTTCCATAGTATTGCACAGTATGAAAGTGACAGAGTCAGCTCTGCTTTCCTTTTTCGGCAAAGGTTGCACGTTTGCAAGCTTCCACGACCTGCGAACTACACCAGTCTCAAGTGAGAGGCGGTACAGGCGTAGGCGTGTGAGAACAGGAGACAACTCAGGCGCACAGTTACGTAGGACTAGTGCTGGAATTCCATCTGGCCCGCTAGCTTTATTCACATCTAGATTCCGCAGAGTTCTAAGTACCTCTTTTTGGCGTATGCGAATTGGCGCCATAGTGCAGCCAGTCTGAGGTAAGATTAGATTCAGACGCGAACTCTTTGCAAAGAGTGAGGCAAAAAGATTTGCCTTGTCTTCTGCAATGTATCGGTCAAAAGTTGAAGTTACTGAACGAAAATGGAGCCAATAAAAAGGTGTTTTCGCATTCGTGAAATCATTCTAGGGGTCATATTTCAAAACTCTAATCATTGCTCAAGTCAGGATTTGAGTATGATTCAAAGCACTAAAAATCATACTTAAGTCCTTGCCATTAGGGTCGTATTTCCAGTGCTTGACATCATACTCAAGTCTGCTCAAATTCTCACTTGAGCATTGAGTAGAGTTCTGGAATACGACACTTTATCTCGTTTTTCTTTAAGTGGCTTTTATGGCAGTTACATACGGCGACTATCAGCAGCTATGCAGTAGCGATGCAGTCGCTAATCGTCTACCTTTACACACACAAGCGACGCAAGCACGCGATTTTAAGCAGCGATGCAAATGTACGAATGCATCGATACAAACGCACGAATTGCATAGCTACACTTGGGATCTTTATGCATGATCGCGTGTTTGTATCGATGCAATCGCGCGTTTGTATCGATGCAGTCGGGCATTTGCATCGATGTAATCGCAAGTGAAGCGATCCCATCGCGCGTTTCACGGACACGCGTTTGCACTCGCTGCTAAAAGTCGCCGTGTGTAACCACTCTTAGTTACACACGTTTATTTTGTGATTCACGCTAAATAAAACTCAAAAGGTTATTTGTAAACGTAGAACATATTATGAGCTTCCAAAATTATATTTTTCCAATTTTTAACATTTTCCACTTTGAAATTTTTCAGAAAATTACCCTACAGTAAGTACAACACAGCGTCACCACTCAAGCGCCGCAACGCCGACGACAACGAAAACGATGCATGGTGTAATCACATTAAATTGGCTCCTACTTCGTAAACAGCATTAAATTTATGTAGGTAGTTTGTTTAGCGAACACAATTACGTGTTACCATTATTTTGATAGGTGAAATATGCCCGTGAATGCACGGTGAATACGCTGAGATGGTTTTACATATGGCGTGTAAATTGCTCTAATTAATAGTTTTCATAATTAGCTATGTGTGTAATACGGTTGCAATTTTCATAAATGTCAGATTTCAAAATTCTGCGTCTGTACCTGTTTTGCGGGAGCAACGATTGTGACACGATGAGACAGGAAAATCGACAACATTTCAGTATTTATATTAACTTTTAACTAATAATGTCAAGTAAAACACTAAAGAAGCTTATACAGTTTTGGGACTGTACAATTCAGTTTCTTAGCTGGTTCCTGGGTGGACCACGTACAATTATTTTTTCCTGCGGTTTACCTTTGTCCACCTGGGTGGACCATGGGCTATTGTTGCTTCCCGTGGTTCACCTAGGGATTTTTCTCTTCTCGTAAGTCATATTATTAAAACTCCTTTAAAATTGCAAAGACTTTAAGATACTTATATGATTTTTTTTACATTTAGCTTTGGCTACAAAGATATCAGTTTAAAACTCAATGATTCAAAATATTTAACTGTGCGTCCATTTTATTCTAAGCTTAAATAGAACGACTCATGTAAATCTTGATTACCACAAAAATGGCAGGTATAATTGAAGATTCTTTTCTCATTACTTCCATGAGGATTGCGGTATTCATTATTTTGATTCAGTATTCGTCTCCAAGCAAAGCAGCTGTCTCAGGGTCGATTGCTTCGGTGATACTCAATTGCATATCCGTCCACTCCTCGCGCTGATTGTCTATGTAGTAATTTATCTCTAAGATCCTGTCTCGGTTACGCTTAATTTCATTTCTAAAACAAAGAAAATCTTTTTATTAATCAAATTAGTGGAGTAATTTCACACAAATAATTGAATATTTTGGTGGTCAAACATCGTGACATTCAATAACTTAAAAAAGAAAATCCTGTCAAACACAGCAGAAAAACTGTATTCTATAATTATTAATACAAAGATCGAACACTCAGAAAAAAATCCTTCGATCCGGCCGGATTCGAACTGACATCTTCTAGCTTACCGTGCCAAACGCTACACCAACTAAGCACTACGGCTTAAGGCGCTACGACTAAAAAAAAAAGTCGTTGAAAAAACGAAGTACAAAGATACGACGCCAGCACATAAAAAAATTGAGCGTGAGGTCCGCTGGTTCGTTCCGTGCTTAGTTGGTTGGCGTCTGGCACGGCAAGCTAGAAGACGTCGGTTCGAATCCGGCCGGATCGAAGGAATGTTTTCTGAGTGTTCGATCTCTGTATTAATAATCATAACAAACTAATTTAAACTGTATTCTACTGAAAGTCACAACAAATTCAGAAATTGGATGTCGCTATATTAAGTTTTAGTTATTTACGAAGTTTCTTATATTATATAAGTAGCACAATTTGATTCGCGTACTCAGTATAAAGTACCCTTTAGTAATTCCAGATATACTACTTAATTATTTGCATATTCGTCCACCGTACTTCTGACTGTCTGTGCGGAAGCGCAATAAACCAATACCTAACAAAGGGCAAAAATCAATAAGTGTATATAAATTTTCGTAAAATGAGTTACCTAACTCAGTGTAGTGTATTTTATATGGTGGAATCCTATAAGCAGATTAATGAGTGGAACACAAAAACGATTTAGTAACAAACCTGGTATATCGTACTACTGAAATGTACATGAAAACTGCACTATAATGACTAGAAAATCACACACTTATTAGGCATTGCCTCGAGCACCTCGATTCCTGTTTTACAAAACATTTTTATACTCACTCGTTAGTCCCTTCCACTAATACCTCCCTCCATTTATTAGCTCTAGTCATGAGCAGGTCTTCGCGATCGTCAATAAATCGCATGTGGTTATCCGAAGACGCTGCTACTAAGTTCACCATCAGGTCGCGGTCCGTCATCACCTGGAATGTCTCTTATTTTGTTTAGGGTATATCATAACGTTAATGTGGATTGAAACATTAAAAGCTTCATTGTGAGTATAATTGTTCATTAAAGCCTTTTTTGAATCTCCTTCTTTTAAACTGAGTTAAATCAGGTTTGGTAAAAATGTACCTCATAAAGATCTGGTGGCGCATCTCCTAACAAGATCTTGTTTCCCAACATTTTGTTAAGGCTCTCGTACTGTCTCGAAGACCAAACGGCCTCATGTTCGCGCCACGCCCCAAACGCATTTCGAGAAACTTCCAATAGCTTTGTAACCTTTTCCGTCATGTTCACTGAGAACTGAACGCGGGATTCCTGCAGGATAGGGTACACAATCAATTCAATTTTAAATTTAAAACACATTAAGCTTTTAAATAGAATAAACTCTTGCGGAAATTGAAAAATAACAAAGTTTGTTTGGCTGCCACCAGCCGAAAAAGCTTAATATGATGATGATTTTTTTTTAATAAGTAAATAAATATTAGACAACATCACATATGTTGCGCTGATACCAAAGTAAGTATCTAAAGCACTTGTGTTATGGAAATGAACCTACGACGGTACCACAAACACCCAGACTCGAGATAATATAGAAAAGTTAGTTTCTACACTGACCCGGCCGGGGATCGAACCCGGGACCTCAGAGATAGCGATACCATGAAAATCGGTGTGCAAGCCACTCGACCACGGAGGCCGTCATGATGAATGAAAATTCATAATTGTACTGAATATGTACGCAATTTTGATATAAATGTTTCTAAGATGTTGAATAATATATTAGATATGCAGACGAAAGTAAATCTACTAAGAGCTAACCTCGCACTGCTCAAAAAGATTCATCTCAATAGTCATCAATTGTCTCCAGCAATCATAGAGAACTTCGTTGAAAGTGTCACTGAGTTCCACAATCTGTGGTTCTAACTGTTCAAGTGTCGCTTGTTTCGCAACGAACTTTGCTTGCAAAGCTTGTAGTGTGGTAATAAGAGGCGCTTTCTTCTTTTCATATTCTGTTATCACGCTGTCAGTGTAGTATAAAACATGATTTAGGGTAATCATAGAATTGAATTGACAGATATGAATAAACCTTCAATCAATTGACAAAGCGAACATAAATCGTATTATTTATTTTGTTCTACTTATGTCCTCATATTCTATTTTATATAATTTTATGCAAAGAATTTCATATCAATTGAAAAAAGATAAAAATCCGTTGCAGTTCCTTATTTTCAATACTCACTACGAGTATTAACTATTCAAGCAAAATTAATGTCTTCGTAAATAAGATCAGCTTGTAATAAAACTTTCCATTTCTAAAATTCTTTCGCATTAATATATAAACTATACTAGTAAATGGATAAAAAAGACAAGTTACAATTACAATGAAAGAAATTAAGTAATCAGATGCACCGATTCATAGATGATAATAAGTAAGTACTTACTTTTTGCTCTTCGTCACGCTTTTTTCTAAAGCGTTATCGACAAGATCTTTATATAGTTTTATTTCGTTCTCTCTATCGTTGTACGCATTTTGAGCGAACTCTACCAGTTGTGCCATGGTCTCCACATATTGATCTTTATAGCTATGAATTTAAAAAAGTCACACTAGTAAAGTAGACAAAACAATTCAGACTGATTTAATAGTGCCGCATACGAATTGTGCGGAATGGCCTGTGACAATCCCAATGTAGATTCGCATAGGCACATAGTTAAAAAACTGGCACAAGGGTATGAGAGAAACTTACACTTCGTAGAATGTCAGAACCTCTCCACCAACTTTGAGTAACAGCGAACCATCTAAATCTTTCTCGAACATAGACTCAATCAACTCTGGTCCGCTGAGATATTCAACGAAAGACATGCCGAAGAACTTTACTTTAGCGTCGTACTCCTCCTTTGCAATACGCTCTTTTTCACTCTTCTCGTCTGCTTCGTCCAATTTTCTAAGAAGACCTCTGTGAAAAACGTGTTATAGATACTTACATAGTAGGTAATAGGAATCACATCAATACTGACTGAACTGATTGTGTATGACGTTTTCACAATCATCTTTCAATGTTAATGAACACGACTAGTGCCGAAGTTAGCATAGTGATAGTGGTTATCACATTACGAAAATTTATCTGATAATACCTGAAAATCGCTCTTCCAGATTCCCTTTCTTCCTCAGAAATGGTTTTATAATCGAGATACGTCACGTTAACCAACGCGGCCTTAAGAAATTGATAGGTCATAGGGTCGTCGCAGCACGGATTGCCTTTAAAACTTACTGTTCTTAAAAACCTAAATCTTCGTAGGTACGCCATCTACGCAGCGAGAAAATTTTATGGAATTTTAATAATCTTGTAGAAATACGATTAGTTCTCATTCAAAGAAGGATAGTTAATAGGTTAAGCAAACAGAAATCTAAATAAACAAGCATTATTTAGATTTCTGTGGTTAGGCAAGTTTTTATACAGTTACCTCTTTAAAATCCTCAATTAAATTATCACCAATGCTGAAAATTAACAATTTCTCTAAAGTATCCATATTTTCTAATTTCTTTATTTTATTGTGAAACAATGTAAGAACTTCCAAATTGACTAAACATTCCAAGTTTTCTATTTTTTCTATTTTATTAAATGACAAATCTAATTCGTTAAGATTCGGCAATTGTTCGAGGTTTTCGATTTTCTCAATAAGATTGTGAGCTATATCAAGTTTGGTGAGTGATGTCAGCATCCAAAGATGGTCGATTCGAAGAATGTTCTGAAATTCGAGTCTCACGATAGTCGCTTCGTCGAGGTGGACTCCTTCTTCTGCGAATAGTCGTCCTGCCTCTTCGGTTGGACCTAAGTGATAATAACGGAAAAGCTAAATTGAAAAGCGTATCTAACGTATACGTGGATGAGAGAAACAACGGGAGGCCTATACCCAGCAGTGGGTGAAGTCATGCTGTGGATGATGATGATGATCGAATGATCTTTAAATCTATACATATGTTCATACATATATGGACAAACGATTTGGCAAAGTTCGATCGGTTCCAAACAATTAGACTACTCATATGGTAATTAAAAAAGGTCTGTGCCTAGCACTGGGACGTAGATACATGGGTAGAGGATCGCAGGAGTATATACTCACCTTCTGCCAATATACACTTCGTAAGCATGGCATTGTCGATGACACCAGGCTCGATGGCGGGATGTATGAGCAGAGCATTTAAATTCACCTTAATGTTAACCTGGCGTCTCGGGTCTTCATCCTTATTAGCCGGCGTGGACATTTTGTAAAATTTTAATGAATTGTAACTTTATCAAGATGTTTATTTATGTATCAAAGTCTGTCGCTAGGCAACAAGTGACAACAATAGATAGATACCTTGCACCATTGACCTATGCCTTGCACGATATAACACACAACAAAGCGTACATAGATATTGTTGATTTCCTATTACTTTTGCGGCTGAATGAGAAGGAATCAAATAAACAGCGGATTTTATCTTGGTGATGGGTATTAGGGATTTTAAAAGTACAAACTGCGATAAGAAAATACAGGTATAATAACAAATTTTTATATAAGTAACAAAAAATTACAAAAATTACGGAATTTGTTCCTTAAACTAACAGCAGGAGTGATTAAGACTTTCGTGGTTATTCACTAAATGATTATCACTAATTTACAGTCTTCTGTCTTACGTGGTAAGAAGCTTGAAATTAGTAATAATTTAGAAGGAGTGATGCGGTTCACCGCGTTAATCAGCTGAACTATAATGAAATACGAAAAGAGTTTTGAGTGTACACCTAATTTTACAATAGATAACAATTTCATTAGGGCCCGAGCTTACTTCTCATCGCGCTCTTTTAAAATTTCGCGCGCCTTTAAATATTTTTGCGGTTACATTTTTCAATGTGAATCAATCAATAGGACAGCAGTTTTTTAATTCGATATAATAATATACTCGAAATGAAATCGTTGTTATTAATTATGCCCAAAGAGTTTAGACCAATTATTAATTTAGTCATAAATTACAAAACAATGCACGGAACACGCCGCATGTGATCCATGTCCACATTTATGTGGTCTGTGATGTCCACTAACTGTAACATTCGAACATTATACATGTTAACCATATATCTAAGTCTAGACTTAGACTAAACACTTGTACTAAACACTTCTACAGACAAACTTTACACACAAAAATAAAATCACGATAATTCAAGATGAATACGTTTTACCATAAAGCACGGTGATTATGAAACCCGACGGTAACCAATGGTACCACTACAACTGACAAGAACCAGGCCACGCCACAGGGTCTACTCCCGTTCTCTTATCCGACCGACATCCATCGGAAACAAATTTATGTGGTCTGTGTTCGCATCATGTCATGCGTGAAAACGTAATATTATAAGTATATTTAAGTAATTTGGTCGAGTATAGTCCTATTTGAGAGTGTAATTATTTGAATTGTTTCGGACGGATGTCGGACGGAGAACGGGAGTAGACCCCCAGGTTTGAGTTCAAAGTTCTGTACGACTTTTTAGCCTTGGACATAAAACTACATTTCGTACATTTTATCAGAGCTCTTTAGTAGAGTGCACAACTCATCCACAAAACAAGTCAAGTCCGAAGGTTGATCAACTTAAACTTAGGTAAATAATAATTTAACGAACTATTGCACTTAACTTTACTTCCGAATTCACGGAATCTCCAATCATTTGTGTTAATTACAATTTTTGGCATTGTCTCGACAAGAAGCAGAATTAAACTAAACTTTAATTTAAAGTAGGTAGCGTCTTAAATTCAGCAGGCTTGTAACTATAAATAAATTTTATTTTATGATTCTCTTAGTAGGTATCCAGTACGTTTTTGATAATTAATAACATTATACAAAATTAACATGTTTTATTTACTAATTATATATAATTAACATATTTTAACTTTTATTGATACAGAATGTTTCCCTTAAGACGAGCAGTGTATAGTGCCAGATGCATTCTTCCAAATGTCCGCTACATGTCGGGTCAAGGCCCCCTGGTCGACTTAACAGTAGACAATGGAGGCATAGCCACTCTGACAATGCAGCGGCCACCAGTCAACAGCCTCAATCTCGACCTGTTGCAGCAGATGAGCAAGGCTCTTGATGATGTTGGCAAGAACAAGGCTAGAGCAATGATTTTGACATCAGTAAGTGTTTGGATTTCAAGTTTTAGCAGCTATGTTTTAATGGTTTTATCACCACATGTGTAAATTGATACCTCCCAAGTAAGTTGTTGTAGATCAAAATACCATTTTTTGCTTTTTAATTTAAATATATCCTTTTTTATGTATATTGTAGGTTTCATGTTTGAAAATAAACAAAACTCTAAGTGACTTATTTACAACTTACGCAGGAGGTATCGAAATATTTTTTACATTTGGAAGCACCACAGATTTAAAATTACCAACACAACCTATCTTTATTGCAACTCTGAATAATATTTCCAAAAAAATGTTAAAATTATGATGTATTTTTTTAAATCTCACTGCTAAAACAGGAATTACAAGTTTGAAGCTTGTATCGTGTTGATGCTGATGATTTTTAAACAGCTGAACAGATGTTCATCAAAGTTAGCTAAGAGCCATCCTGATTACATTCACCTTCAAATAACAAAAACCGCTTTAAGATCAGTCCATTTGACAGCCCTGATGCCACGGTCAAACACAGACACACAAACAAAGGCATTTTGAAAATCTTTCTTCAGAGTTGCAATATGTATAAATTGCATTTCCATTGTAGGTAATGTTACCAAAAAACATACATACTGTAAATGTCATTAAAGATGTAATTCCTACACTATTTTCAGTCATCCCCAACAGTATTCTCAGCTGGTCTAGACATCATGGAGATGTATAAACCGGACATGCAGAGGGTTGAGCAGTTTTGGACCACTCTACAGGAAGTGTGGATTAAGCTTTTTGGTTCAAAATTCATCACTGCTGCAGCTATCAATGTAAGAATCTGCTTAGCATAAAAAAAGTACATTTAGCAATAAAGGGGCTTTCAGCACACTGATGAGTTGATGTCGTTTTGTACTAGTATGATGACAAAGTTTTAATAAACATGTGTGGGTTTATGACACGGCGACATATTGACGCTCAAACTGGCAAGGTGTGGGAGGTGAGATCTATCAGAACTTCCATCATCATAAACCCATTTTGTAAGTCCCACTGCTGGGCATAGGTCGTCTCTTAGGCGAGGGTTTAGGCCATAGTCCACACTGGCCTAATGCATTATGAGGACATAACACGTTTTCTGAGTTTTTTGAACTTACTTCGATGTAATGCGCACACACGCACACTCCCATAGCCCCGCACTAGGGGAAACCCTGTGTCGCGGATGCCATGGACACACATATGGACAGCCACAAATGACACCTAAAGTCATGAGAGAAATAAACGTAGGCCATACAAATATTTCTCCCGACCCGGGAATCGCACCCAGGACCTCTACGTGGCAGTCCAGCATGGTAACCGTTCGGCTGCGGAGGCAGTTTTATGTGCAGATTACATCAATGTTTTCCTTCACTAAAAAGCTCATGGTAAATTTCAAATTAAATTTTGAAAAACTCAAAGGTGTAAGCCCAGATACGGTTGAGAGGCAGTACAGAACTTACTGTAGCTGAACTTCAAAAATTATACACCCAGATAATGCTGGTTTGTGTGACATTTGCTTGCTTATCAGTATTCTACAGGATATATCATGCAGAGTGTGCGAGGGAATTGCACGAATTAATTCCACCTCCCCCTTTCCATCACCGGGGGCTGGGGTTCCTCCCCTAAATTGTGGATATTCCAAGACTTCACATGAAGCGCTTCGCTTCAACATTTATTTGGCGAACGGCTGCGGAGGGGAATTGCCTGCCTGCAGACTTGTTACTTGAATGCTACAGCTTGGAGCTTTTCAAGGCGAGAGTGAATAGACATTATTTAGGTGTGCATGCTCCATCGTCGACTTCATCGTGACTTTCCATCAGGTGAGATGGAAATCAAATGCGCACTTAGTTTTAAATAAATAAAAAAAATTGAAATTATTACAAAACCATTTGTGGCAGGGCACCAAACTTAAATGCACTTGTATATTAACTATTGTCCTTCACTGCACTTGTAGTGATAGGAGTGTAAGTTTGATGGTATCAAGTTATATCTAATAATGAACTGAGAGTCTGCAGGGTGTAATATAATTGTGAGTTAAGCTTCCTAATGAATCTTTATTTCAGGGTCATTCACCGGCAGGAGGTTGTTTGCTCGCGATGTCCTGTGAATACCGTGCCATGGTCAATGGTAAATATACCATTGGCTTGAACGAGACTGCACTGGGCATGGTTGCACCTACTTGGTTTATGGACACTTTTAGAAATACCATATCAGACAGGGAGTCAGAGATTGCTCTTACTACAGCCAAGTTGTTTACAGTTGATGAAGCTTTGAAGGTTGGTTTTTACTTGTAAAAACGTACATAGTCACACAATTTGTTATTAGGTTGCTTTCAATACCTAGCTCAGACATGTGAAAGGTTACATGCTTTAATTTTGTGTAACTTAACTTCTGTGTAACTTTTGAACGCGCACGAGCGGAACACTCCCATCTCCCGCGTGCCATTAGAAATTGTCACTTGCATTCTTGCATTAGTTTAATGCAAAATTCAATTAAAGTGTCTCTCTCTGTTGCTTTTGTTATGTTAGTATAGAGATTTCAGATATTATTATATCTGTATGTTAGCTTTGTTTAATAGCATTTCTATGTTATCAACTTATCATGAATATCAAAGTAATTGGTACCTATCATACCCCCATATAGTACTTTTGTCTTCAAATTGGTCACTCATGTTATTAATAAATTAAATATCCCAGATTAGGAACAGTTTAAAAAAAGTTTTATTTCAACTTTTTGTACTGAACTGATTGATTTATTGCAAACATAATTAAATTTCTGTATCATGATATGATGACCATTGGCTCATGGCGCAGGAAATCGATGCAAGTATTAACAGTATATATAGTAACTAATATTGGGTTACTATTCGGTATACGGCCTGTTTTTGCTATTCGCCCGAATACCGCTCCAAGTTCCGCGGCGTTTTTACCTTTCCAAGAGATAACATTCATCAGTGCAAATAATATTTCTTCAACTAAGAATTCCAATCCTTCCAATAAAATGAATAATCGAAATATGTTCACAAATGCCGGAGTAATCGCGTAAAAATACACACAAAAATAATACAGTCGAATTGAGAACCTCCTCCTCTTTTAAGTCGGTTAAAAAGGTAATATATCAAATGAAAACTACCTACTTATTGTGTAGTTCACTCATGACTAAATAAACGCTAACAAAATCAACCAAGTTTTTGTGCTTATTGTATGCAAACCAAAATGAAATGCACTTTTTGAAAGTTGATGAAACTAAAGTTAAATAACCAATTACTTACGTCATTTAAGTCATTTTAATTTTAAACTTAAAATGAAAGTACCTTTTTTTCATTGTTCAAAATTATTTACCACAACTGAAGTCAATAAGGGTATTTTTCGTACCAATTTTCGTGCGTACATTAATAATTAATATTCGGCCTAATTATTAGGCCGAATATTCGGCTATTCGACCACGCTCCTGGCCGAATATACTATTAGTTGCAATACTAATTATTCGACAAATCCCCATTACGCATCAGATACAAATACCATTCCGCACCAGATCAAATTTCTTAGTAGGAATTTCTGCGTTGACACGAATCATAAGCTTACAAACATCCACTGCTGGACAACCTCCCCTTAAGCACGCCAACTCTCCCGATTCTGTGACACCCCCATAATTTGGCAGCAGTAGAACTCCGTGTGAAAGAATTCATCCAGGGTAGCACTGCCACCTTACCTATTTCTGCCGCCAAGCAGTAATGTCAGCATTACTGCCTCCGTGACCGAAACGCTACTTTACTTACCATGCCGGACTGCCACGCAGAGGTCCCGGGTTCGATTCCCGGGCCGGGAGAAATGTTTGAATGGCCTACATTAATTTCTCTCGTGTTTGTTTTTAATTTGTGGTTGTCTATGTGTGTGTCCATGGCACCCGCGATACAGGCTTTTCCTACTGCGGGGCTATGAATGTGTGCTGTGTTCCAGTTTTGAAGGGTAAGGGTGCTGGTGAAATTACAGGCACAAGAGACTTGTCAATTGATGTCTCAGAGAGACGGCGCAGTGGCAGTGCCCCTCAGATTTTTGTCATTTAAAGCTCTGAGTGGTACTGCAACTATTATGGATAGGCGTGTAGGTTACTATAAGACGCACGACATGTTCGACCCGTCATATTATATTATTTAAAAAAAATCCAGCCGCTACTAGCCACCCTTCTCAGGTCGTCCGTCCAGCTAGCCTAGTCAGCTCCATCGGCCGTCAGTCCTCTTGCAGACGTGTCCGGCTCGCTGCCACTGAAGGTTACTTACTGATTTTGCGAGCTAAAGCACCTAGAAATCAGTGTAAAAATTGCCACGTTCATAAATATGTATGTTGTTATTTCAGGTCGGTTTAATTGACGTAACGGCCACCGACAAAGCAGACGCTGTAGAGAAATGCAAAGAGTTTATAAAGAAATTCGACAGAATACCGCCATTTGCACGAGCAACAACAAAGCTTGTCTTAAGGGAGGTCCCACTAAAAAGATTGATAGAAAACAGGAAACAAGATGTCGAGACCTTTTTAGGATTTGTTAAAGACCCTAAAACACAGCAGGCTATAGGAATGTATGTAGAGAGCTTAAAGAAAAAGGCAGGTCAAGAAAAATAATCAATTGTATGTGTAACAAAAACGTATACTACTGTTTTTGACACTAGACTGCCTCTGAAACTTGAAATAATAACCACTATCCAAGATTATCTAAGTCGTACTATGTATGTAAATAATATCGTATAAGAAAAGACACCAATTATATACCTACTGTTTTTAAGATTTTTAAAATAAATATATAAATCAAATTATCTTTATTTTTTATTAACGAATAGCTGAATCCCTCAGTTATGGAATACAATTTTCATGAAGTCATTAGTGTTATATCAAAATTCCTGTCTGGACTTTAGCATACTTTCTTTCTGATACCCTATACTTATACGTCTATAACGTACTATCTCTTTCTGTGCGCCAAAATATCATACAGCGCGAAAAGCATTGTAACCCCATGAAATACATAACAGAAAATATGAGGGATTTAAAATAAGCCAAATTCATTTTATATACTATTTATAATCATATGTGACCAATATAATAATATTTTATTTATACTTGATAATAGCATCCAGATAATTATAATAATTATGTACTTTAGTACAATTTAAAGTAATATCGTAGGAAAAAAAAATGGATTACACCACTTTTGCGTTGAGTACCTCATATTAAGTAATACCATAGATTTAGTATATAGGTACCATGAGTAATACCATAGATTTAGTATATAATGAGTAATACTTATTTAATAAAATTGTGAAATTTTAAATACTCGAGAACTTGAAATATGCGTTTACAAAAACATTATGGTAAGTAATGATAGTTAATAAACATTATCTTCTTATCGAGTTCTTAGGTTTTCGCGATTGTTACACATAGGAAATGAAACTATTTTCCCGGATTTAAATCGCGTAATTATATTTGTTTTTCAAACAAACCGACGTTTCGGGCCCTTTACAGTCCCATGGTCACGATTGACTGAGGTGGTACAGTCTTCAACCAGTTATGTCTAATATTGATGCAAACCACCCTATTTTTTCACTATAGTTACAATAGTTATTAATTAAATACCTTATTTTTAATTTTACAAAATTATCTTCTTAGCTTTTTTATAAAAATAACCACCTTAGAATTATAAGTGTCTCCGGTACTGTGACTCATTAGATAATGAGTCACAGTGCCGGACTATATTTGAGATATATATAACTGAGATCAGTCTGATAACGAAACTTTAATTTGTAGATAAACAGAATTTTCATTTTTACGCATAACTTTTATTTCTTTTCAAATTTTATTTTGTAATTCAAGTCCTTCATTGAAAATGTTGATAATATAGTGTGATCGAAGTTTTGCTGAAATAACACGGCGCGGCGTACAAGGCATGATGAAACATTTTTGTGATGGAACAGGTATTGGAGGGCTAATAAAAAAAATAAAAACCGCTTGTCTGGTAATTATTGTAATATGTCTATTGTTAATATTATACTGTTTTGCATAATAATAAAACAGTTTCTTAAATTAAAATTTTTGAAATGTAAATTATTTTAGTACGAAGAATTATTTCCGCCGCTATGTAACTGGGTAATGTTTAAACGGCATGATACAACCAATAGCTCCCCAAGAATAACATTTTGGATTAGAAGCGGTCTTAATGCAAACTGCATAAAGTTGAATAAAAATCATTAATATCCAGCTTGACGTGCTTTTGACTTATACCATTCCATGCCTCTGGCATGCTGGCAGAGAATAAAAAGTAACGCACTGGTGCCGTTTAGTTTCAATTTAAATAATGCCGCCATTTTCTTCACAGTGTGCCGGGTGTGTTTATTTAGCAATGTTGATTATATACTATAGTCAAAACATTATAAATAATTCATTTTGATATTCATTAGAAACATACAACGTAAACTAGGTTTATAGTAAATTAAATAAATAATATGTCGCAAGTCATGATAGTGCGATGTTTATAATGTTCTAGAACTTTTATATAAACTTTTTTTGTAGTTACGGTTTATATACCATTCATAGACGAATTTTCAGCTTAAGTAAAATAATTATTTACTATCACTTCCGTGATTTACTACCACACTTACTTGTGTTACACTTTTTAAGCTGATGACTTTAAAGTCAATGCTAAAGTACCTGTTTTCCATAAATAATCATAATAAATTACATAAATAAATTAGTATAAACTAATTTGTTTACGTGTTTTTGAACACACGGAGTTTTACCAGTCTGTTTTCTTTTATACATTTCCTCATTATAGAAAGTAATAATCATTTATCCGACAGTTTCCTCGTATTTTTTATGAGTATGTATTATAGCTAAAAATATTTCGTACTTTAAAATTGTTGAATTACAAAAATAAACTATTGGTCATACCTACATACTTTTTTTTTTCGGTGAAAACTACTTGGCACTATAGTTAACGTACTTTGTAGTCGTAGAAAACAAAATTGTTTTATTTTGACAGTTCATTTTGTGTTTTGTCACTTGTGTAAAGTGAGTGACACAAGTGAAATCGGTGAAACCTTTGATAAAACAATAAGCGAATAAATTTGTAAAAATGTCTTTCTTCGGGGTGGGAAATCCCTTTTCTACGCCTGTTGGCCAAAAAATAGGTACGTTAGAAGTTATATTCCTTAGAATAGTTGAAGATAGTGTAGAATGTTTTGATAATCCCGTGATCAAAGTACTTTTCCTTCGTTGCGCACTAGAAAATCTACAATTTTCTCTTTGTTTCGCTTATAAACTGTTGTTTATTTTTGTACAAGGTTTAATTGACATCGTTCTGTTAGGTTTTAACAACTTTTTTTGCGGTCCGTTGCACTATGCGAACTATATGAATAAAATAATAATGGTTAATAAACGTCTATGACGTACCTGCTTTCCAAGTAGTTGATTCTTTGCACCACTTTTAGTATTATTTGTAGCCAACGTATTGAAACGAAATTTAAAGGAAAATTTAATTTTGTAAATCAATTCCATTGCTTTTGGGAATTATATTAAATTTAAATTAAATTATATATGCTAATAAGCATATTACTGATGTGAAAATTAAGAACCATGAAGATCGTATTTTTTTCTATTGCAGAACAAGCCACAGATGGCTCTCTTCCATCAGAAAACTGGGCCCTAAATATGGAAATATGTGACATAATAAATAGCAGTTCAGATGCGGCTAAAGATGCCGTGAAAGCCATTCGAAAACGTCTGACACAAAGTGCAGGAAAAAACTACACGGTTGTTATGTACACTCTGACTGTATTAGAGACCTGCGTAAAGAATTGTGGGAAGGTTTTTCACGTTTTGGTCTGCAACAAGGAATTTATTTCGGAGTTGGTGAGTTTACATATTTTATTATTAGTATTATTATGACATTTTTTATGATTTAATCTTGTATGCCAAATACTTTTTATAGATATCAAACCGTTTTTAATAAATCGATGGCTTTTTAGAATCTAGGTCTATTTCAAAATCACTTAATTCGTCGGGAAGGTGCTTCAGAAACAACTGCAGGATATCTAAAATGCAAAACTTTTGAATCATACAGGCATATGTTTTTTTATAGCTATAATATCAAGTGACGGGACGAACAAGTCGTGTGCTTGGTGGTTAGCTATGCCCCTGTCCATAACAGTTGCAGTGCCACTCAGAGCTTTCAATCGCAAAGATCAGGGCCACTGCAGCTGTCACCCTGTGACATAAGTTGACAAGTTCCATGTGCCTGCAATTTCATCAGCACCATTACCCTTTTTTTTTATTTGCCTAAAACATGGTGTGAAAGATGGAACAACTATTTACAGAACACATGTTTTACCTGATTAGGCATGCAAAATATTACTTAAATGTAATTTAATTATAGCACTGTCATCGGATGTGCATAAGGAATAATCAATCAATTAATAACAACAAAATAATGAACTATCAATATCAAACTATTGAATATCATACATCATTATTACATTAAACATACATACACCTTATAATTTCATGTCAACATCTAATTATCAACAAAGAATAATCAGTCAATTAAAAACAACGAAATAATAACCTTCTATGTCAAACAATTAAATATTTATACATTATTATTACATTGTACATGCATATACATTAAGCACTAATTTGTCTAAAAAATCAGTCATTTTGTAATAATTTTTGTCTCTAAGCCATTCACTAAGTCTGTTTCTGAACAAATTGTTTTTTATAGTCTTAATGTCTTTTGGTAGAGCATTATAAATTTGGACATGCATAGCGTTACATTGATTTTTGTAATAACACAATCTAGGTTTATTATTGTGCACCAGTCTATTTGGGTCCCTTACTCCTCTACTATGTATATCTGTAATTTTTCTAAAAAAGGTTTAGATTTTACTTCGTAAATGTACATGTACAGGTAACAGCAAAATTGCACAGGATTCCCATGGGGATACACTGGTCAATGCTCAAACATACTTTTTTTGAGCTATGAACAATTTTTTACACTCAGTTGAATTACCCCAAACCAAGAGCTCATACCTAAGCAGAGACGCCAATGTAACCATGATAAGTAGTCAAAACTGTAGATGGTGATGATATATTTCTCAACCTCCTGAAGACGTGTCTACCAGTGACTTAATGTTATGTGACCAGTTGCAACTACTGTCTATTTCTACGTCTAAGAACGTTGTAGAATCTGTCTCCTGAATATTGATATCCTTGTAATTTACGTTAAGTTTCATTTTTGTTTGTCGATTTGTACCAAAATGAATGAGTTTAGGTTTAATCAAGTTAACAGTCAAATTATTAAGTTTAAGCCAATTTATTATTACATATATTGATTTGTTTATGACTAATTTGTAGTCAATTATGTCGTTTTTGTAAGGAATTACGACTGAAATATCATCTGCAAACAGTATGCATTTGTGTCATTTAACCTTTGGTAGGTCATTTATGTGGAGCAAGAATAATAATGGTCCAAGAACACTACCTTACACACCACACGGATTGACTCTTTCTTGTGATCTTGCAGACACAACACAGCCTTTTTTTAAATGTGTTATTTCTACAGCTTGTTTCCTATTTTCCAAGTAAGAAACCAACCAATTAAGAGTCACCACTTTGATACCTAAATTATTTAGTTTTGTCAGCAAAATGTCATGAGATACAAAGTCTGATGCGCGAGCCATGTCAAAAAATATCACCATTGTAGGTATTTTTGCATTCGTTTTTCAGTTTTCAAAACGGTAATGCTGTCATAGTAATAAACGTAAATATAATATAATAATGTCATAGTAAAAAACAGTAGTTTGGCAACAGAAACAGATAAGGTGGCAGTACTTCCCTGGATAAGTTTTTCACAAGAAGTTCTACTGCTACTTAACTTTTTACTGTTGTCACTTGGTTATTTTGAATAATAAAATACTTGGTGGCCCTTTTTGCAAATTGCTTATAAATTATACAATAAATTGTGTAATAAGACATAAATGATCTATTTTGTATTAGGCCACTACTCTTGAAAAGCAGCACAATGTTATGGGAATTGGTGCAAATAAACAATAAACAAGATGACCACGGATAGTAAATCAGATTAAAATATATTTTAAGACTTTTATAAAAAATATCCACTAAGAATTATTGCTACTTAACAATTTATTTCCATGTTATGACTATATTCTTCTCTAGATATTTTAATTTATGACCAGGGAGCATGAAACCATTCTAAAATATCAGAAGAAGAATACGAACAAAAAGAATAAGACAAAGAGAACTATAACAGTTACCAAAAGTCTTTCCTACAGTCACATCCAGGCTCAGATTTCTAAGAACCTATGGGTGTCTTTCTTTAGATATCCAGGTTATCTTACTTATTTACAGACTACCTGTACACGTTTTTAAGCTTTGTCTTGTCTCTGTGACGTTTCCCAAACTTCCTAAACCTGTTAACTTCAAATCCCTTTTATTTAATCCCAGTGACCCTTTAATAAATATATATAAATATTTTAAATATTATATTTTAATAATTCGCATTTTGTTTAACATTGTTTCTTGTAATTTTTTTAAAATGTCTACAATCCCATTTTTTTCTCTTGTTTGAGGCCTTTTCTGTTTTACTACGTGATGTTAGCACAAAAGTTAAAGTTGAACCTGTTAAAAAAGATGGTGTCGTTCTTATATAACTATATTCAATACAACATGTAGATGTTAAAAGAAATTTTCGTTTATTGGTCTAAATTCTTTTTTTTAGACCTATATTATTTGTCCATGAATGCGCTGCTGGAAAGCGTACTCACTAAATGCACACAATAGTTGCAAATTCACAGCAAATATTATAGGCTGTTGAACTTCAACAACGTTATCAATTATCAAACAGCTTATCAGCAGTTCTGCCCAGATTATCAACAATTTTATCAATAAACTAAACCTCACCCAAGATATGAATGTTTCGTGTCATACTAATGAGTCAGGGGTTAGTTCGTTATTCTTGTTGTTATTGTAATGATAAAAATCTATGGAGTAATATAGTTATAGGTACAACAATTGGCAGATGGAGCGCGCCGAACACGAAAGTGAAACCACCACAGCAAATACAAATTCAAAAGCGAATACAATCTCGCGTCAGTACGAAGTACAGCGTCGCACAGTGTGTTATTTTACTTTAGTTGCAGACATCCTCGTTTTATGTTCGATTTCAATAAGTTGAATACTTATAAATTATACTAAGAAACACCCGTTTAGATATTTACTTTTATTATGGAGATATATTTTTTTTTCGAAAGGTCACTGAACTTCAAGAAAAATGTTTTTGCCTGTATTTCCCGAAAGATGTGAAACTTCCCTTTGTAAAAAATACAAACTGACTGTCTATTTAAGTTTATTAAATGTGAAAATCGCAAGTCCTTAAGCGCACAAAAAAGCGGAAAAAAAAATTTTGGTAATTTTGAAAATATATTTGTATAAAATTAACCGTACTAAATTAGCATTTTATTTTACCTTCAAAATATACTACATTAATATATCTATCGAATAAAGGAAAAGTAAACGTTTATCTCGGAAGATCTCGGAGATACCGCGTTTCTAAGGTTTTTTCAGATTTCTATGAATAATATGAAATAGGGTTGTCACAATATGTATACATTTTTACCCGACTACATGAATCAATGTTATGTGTTAAAACAACAACAATAACAACAATAATAATAATAAGTTCGTCAAAACCCGGTACCCAATACAAAAGCGCATTCCATGTTAGCAAGGTACAGAGTTGTAGGTTCAATATGTAATCAATTTTCCGTCCTTTGATCAAGGGTCATATACGGCTTACCCCAGAAATAGGCAGGCACTCAGGTTTCACGCCCAAATTGAGGGTAAAAATATTTACTATTAAATACTTTCTAAATTTTGTTCAAATTTAACGATATTGTTATAAAATACTTCTATTTACCTAATTTCCTTACTCATATTCATTAAAAAACACCACAAACCACTCCTATTTGGATGTTGTACTCTACTGTTTTAAATCAGATCAGATCTACAAGTTTTTGGAATGCCAATGTCCGAAAAATGGCCTCTGTAATATATTGTGCCATTTTAGAATCGGAGGGTAGGGTCACTTCCGTTGTATCACCAGTCCTCTCGAAGAAAATAAAATTAAGAAGTGAGTAAAGTAAGACATGAATATATTATAATATTGCGCTTTGCAGACAGGATAAATATTTAGTGACAACCCTTACACAAAGTTTAAAAATTGAATATTTCTGAACTCTTCTGTTTGTCGCATCTGATTCATCTGAGGAAAGCAATTTTTTTTTTATTTATTGGTGCTTTTAATAGTTTTCTACCATAACATGAAATATTTAAAGAAAAATTATTTACAGGAAAGGAAATAATCTGATTTTACGGATTTTTCTCAATTTTCTAAGTTTCTCTGAAACTATTATAGATACAGCCTGGAGAGTTTTGTTAGGAACTTTGTTTGAATATTATCTTTCTAAAAAACACATAAAACGAGTATGTCCGCAACTAAGGTAAAATAACACACTGCGTCGCATTGTTTGCACGTAACGAGTGATTAGTTATTTTTTTTTAATGTGATCTTGTGTCTTTAAACATTTTTCACATAAATAAAAAAATGATTGGATATCTTTTCACAGGGAACAATTGATTAATTAACTGTTTTGTAATTTATTTACCCAATATTTTTTGAGATTCACTCGGAACACAAAACCTCGATATAAATTCATATGTGTGGCCAGTTTATATTAGTGGAGACGAAGCTGCAGAGCCTTGAAAACCGCCGTAAAGTTGCCTGCTTATCGGTATTTTACAGGATATATCACGGAGAGTGTGCGTTTTACACGATT